TTTTAAAAATAGACCTTGTGTAATTGTAAAATTAGCAAAACGACAATTTGAAAAGTGAGACGTTTTGACCAATATCTACACTAATGGTAGACCACTAATAGCCACACTGACAATGAAGAGGTAAATTCATGCATATGATTTCAATTTCAGATTTTGTATTCCCCTTTTTGTTGATGAAAAAACACCATTATTTGGTGTTACCCTTAGTGGACATTTAAGAGAGAATTGATACTTTTTATATAGTCAAACTGACAATGAGGAGGTAAATTCTTGCATCTGATTTCAATTTCAGATTTTGTATTCCCCTTTTTGTTGATGAAAAAATACCATTATTTGGTGTCCCCCTTAGTGGTGATTTAGCAGAGATTTGATACTTTTTATATAGTCAAGCCATTGAACTATCATTTAGAAAGATTACCTTCTTTGCTGCCAAGATCTCCCACGAATATGATATTCCCCTATTGCCATGGTCGTTTGCTTCCTCGAGGAACCCTAATTGGTGACAATTCAAAATAGAAAGAATACTTTTTAAGCAGTCTGAACCATAGCACCATCATCTAGCAGGATTAATGAATGTCATAAAACAGTTAGATCAAACCTTTCAGAAAGCAGTTTTGCTGAGCCATAAGACATGTTTTAATGAATGTAATATGGAATATAATCTTCTTATACCACCGTTGCACAATCGCAGGTGGTTGAAGATGGATATGAATTCTTTGCTAAGCGAAGGCTTGTAACCATATTTTCAACTCCAAATTATGGTGGAGAGTTTGACAATGTAGGTGCTCTATTAAGTGTCGATGAGCAACTGGTATGTTCTTTTGAAATACTAAAACCAGCATCCACTTCAAAGTTGCCCCTTAAAAAGGTACGTCACCACCATGAATAAACTTTTGTCGTTGTCTTGATTTTTCTATACTTTTGATGTGTACTTCCGATGAAATTTATTTGTCTAATGCGGAGTGATACTATTCCTACTGTGTTTCTAGCGAGAACATTGAAAATCAGTGCATTACTTTTCTTTGTTTTTTTTTTGCATTTTCAACAAACGCAGCCCCCAAAGATTGGATGGACCAGAACTGTTAGAAGGTGTATATGGAGATATCTCAGAGTAAACAGCCTAGCACCGGCAAAACTCTTTATATCATTTGCTGGTTCATTTGCTTGTCGTCGATACTGGAGCCAATCTGTATATTGACAGTATAAGTTACATTCAGACAATTGCCTCCTTTGACGTATGGGTGCTCTTCTCTCATGGTCCTTTTAGTTATAATCAACAAAAACAATAAAGAAAAATACAACACATAATAGAAGAGAAGACACAATTAAGAACCTACAAAGCTATTTTCTAATCATAGCTCTGCTCAAGTGACACTCTCCTAATATCGAACATAGAAATTGCACAAAATCTTCCTATGGACGTTAATTGCAAGAAAATTGACCAACAGGAATTTATAGAGGCCTTTCTTGAGGCTTTCTAATAAAACAATAAAGAAATAGAAGAAATACATGACCAACTTCAATATTTTCATCAATATACTCAAAGTTATCAATTTCAATTGTTTCATTAACACCAAATGAAACATCAATAATATCAACACTCTCAATTTCCATAGCTTCAAGAGTTTGATTCTCATTTCTTGGAAAAAAGTAAATCTGTTATAACAAACTTATCAAGAGCCCCNAAAAAATAGGCACATTTAAAAGTGTTGGTGTTAATCCATTCCTAAGAAAATATAAAATGTAATCAACGGACATGGGCATCAAATAATTCAAAAATAATCATAGGATGATGTGAATTCAACCTCTAATTAAGGGCTAAACAATAATTCAGAGAATCAATATGGAGTGCAACATTAGAATTTTACCATTTTGGCAATAGAAAGAGGGTATTGACTTGCGGCAGT